ATTTTCATGTAACAGATAACATCTGGGGGAAATGTATATTGGTAAGTTATGCAAAACTAATTTTCTTGCAACCACATCTGTAGATGTTATTTATTGTATGTTCACTTAACAGTCAATTATTCTGTTTAGAAATCTATTCTCTTCTTTATTAGAGCTTTTAATGCACTCACCTTCATTCAAATGGCCTGCTCATTATCAGAAAAAATATAAATGGCATTCACATGGAACAACATGATTGTTTTTATTATATCCATTTGTGTGCAAGCATTCAAAAATGGCAAGAGAAACACATTTATTGCTTTACATTCAAAGTAATATTTAGGGGGTATTTGAAAGTCAAGCAAAACCAATCATTTGGCCAAATGGATGTATGTCTATAATCAGAAACTCCTGATTTTTAATCTCAGCATAGGCCTCAGGCAAGTCACTTAAAGTCTTCCTTTTTGTTTCCTGATCTGAAGATTATGGGTGCTACTATAGAACAAGGGGGTGCAAAATCAGGGTACCAAGTAGGAGTGCTTGCTTAATAAACATACTTTATCCTTTTCCTGTTTTTATTTTCCAAGATTTAAGAGGTAATATATTAGGCTTTTGAGGAGAAAAAAAAAAAAAAACGAGACAATTAGAATTCTACAGGAATGTATGTATAAAAATAGTTATAAAAGTAGCTTTATTTAATTTGTTTCAACTATTCATAGACTTGAGGAAATTATAATGTTCTTTCAGAAAATCTAACTTAATAAAGCTGACCATGTCTCTCTGTTTTAAATAGATTTTATTACAGAACCAATGATGTTGTAAAATATGAGGTTTTGTTAAAAAAAAATACAAAGGCCTAATTGTACTTTTTTAAAGAAAGTATTGCATCAGACGATCTCCTTTAAACATACTTGCTGGCTTTGTGCTCTCACAATTATTGATTCTAATTTTTCTTAAACTTTTTTTTTAAGGCTACATATGGGGGGAAATTGCTGTGATGCTTCTGGGCATTATGTTTATTTCAAACTATATATTTGATAGTGTACTTTCTTATTATTAATGAAAAGACATTTCCCTTCTCTAAAATGTAGGCATTTTTTTCTCATACAGTATTTTAGAATTGTAGCTAAGTGTAATTCTTCATGGAAGTGAAAAACATAGCTACATTTTGGTTCAATAATAGTATGCAAAACACACTGAAGGAAAGAAATTTTTCACCCCCAGTTTTAGTGCACAAATAAAATCAAAATAATAGCTGTATGACCTGCACTAATAAAAATCACAAAAAGGAAAGCCCAACTCTCCCTGAAGTTTTCAGTCAGAACTTAATGTTCTTGGGATAAATGTGAGCTTCACTCCAACAAATAAATGATCATGTGGAGCCGGGGAGTTCCAAGTTGTCAGTCCACTGCCCCATGCATACACATACACTCCACAGTGCAAAGACCAGGAAAATTTAGTACTTAGCAATTAATTCAGATGAGCCTTGTAATGAAATCCAGACCATGAGGAGTAGCAATGGGGTGGGGACAGGTATGAGGGGTGGATGAGAAACTTGAATACAAATATCTATTTACATTTAAGTATATCATCAGATAGATGAGGAGTCCCTGTGTGGTGCAAATGGTTAATGTACTATGCTGCTAACCACAAGGTGGGAGGTTTGAGTACACTGAGAGGCACCTCAGGAGAAAGCCCTGTGACCTACTCTGAAAAATCAGCCATTGAAAACCCTAAGGAGCACTGTTCTACTTTGACATACATCAGGTCACCATGAGTTGGTGTTATGGATCAAATTATGTCCCCCCAAAATATGTATCTTCTTGGCTGGGCCATGATTCTTGGTATTATTTAATTATCCTCCATTTTGTGATCTAATGTAGTTATCCTATATTTTGTAAATCCTAACTCTATGAGAGATGCCACAGGACTGGCAGTGTTTCATTCTGTTATACATGTGGTCACCATGAGTTGAAACTGACTTGATGGCATCTAACTACAGTCACCTCTATGATATTAATGAGGCAGGATCAGAGGCAGTTATGTTAATGAAGTAGGATGTATCTACAGGATTAGGTTGTGTTTTGAGTCAATCTCTTTTGAGATATAAACTTAAGATTAAACAAACAAGCAGAGAGTGAGGGACCTCCTATCACCAAGAAAGAAAAGCCTGAAGCAGAGGACATCCTTTGGACCCAGGATCTCTGTGCTGAGCACCTCCCAGACCCAAGGAAAGATTGATGGCAAGACACATGGAGAGCTCCAAGGGATGCTCGGTTCACAGATGTTGAAAGAAGTCAGGGGCCTTCCTCCAGAGCCAACAGAGAGAGAAAGCCTTCCCGTTAAATTGGTGCCCTGAATTTGAACTTCCAGCTTCCTAAACTGTGAGAGAATAAATTTTTGTTTCGTAAAACCATTCACTTTTTATATTTCTGTTATAGAACCACTAGACAACTAAGACAGCCAGAAACAACTTGATGGCAACTGGTTGGTTTTTTCAGATAGAAGAAAGGATGGAGAGGCAGTCTGTTGAGAATTTCCACTGGGAATGAAGGCAAAATAACAAAAGCCTATTCCGTGCATGGAAAAACAAAACAAATTTGACAACAGCAGGCATGATAAAATTCTGCTTCATTTAAAGAAAATACTTTATTACAACCTCGCATTAAGCCTTCAGTGTTCCATAAACTCCAGTCAATTCCTTTCTCTCTTCTTTTTATTTCTCTATTGAAATCTCACTCACCTCTTTAAACTTTCTGTTTCTCACCTCACCTTAAAATCTATACCAATAAGTAAATGCCTCATCATCTCCCCTTATCTCTGGATTCCCATGTGCAGTTTATTTATTTTACCTATAATGTTTCAGAAGGCTCTAAAATACGTTGAGCTGTTTTTCTTTCCCTAGCCTGATAAAATAAAGAGCAATAGAAAATGTGGAAGGATGAAATACTAGAGTGGAAAAATGTACAAATTACTTTGTGGGAAAATGAAAATGTTTGTATAGCCAATTTAGGAAAAAAAAATCGCTTATGAATGTAATGAGAGAAAAGAACAGTTCTTACATGTTTTCTCAGTATTTTATTTTGATTATCATTGAGTCAACCTAAGATAAATGAATTTAAGATAAAATCTAGAATTAGATTTAACACCTAGTAAAATAAAAATTAAATGCTTAATAATATCAATAATTTCCAAGTATGACATATTACACTGTACTGAAAACTGTCTAGGCCAGGAAGTAGGCACACCAAGTTGTAACTCCTGGCCCTGTCTATAAGTAATCATCTAACCTTAAGCCAATCATGTAACTCCTTTGTTTCCAAATTTTCTTGCCTATAAAATTAGGACACATCAGTGCTTCTATAAAGTCAAGTTAAAATTAATATGAATAATTAAAAGGAAAATAGACACTATATTATAGCAATGCAACGCAACACCCTGCCATCAAGTCGGATCCAACTCACAGACAACCCCTCCTTGGGTTTCTGAGGCAGTATCACTACAGAAGTACATTGCACAATCTTCCTTCCAAGGAGTGGCTGGTGGGTTTGAACTGCCAGCCTTCTGGTTAGCAGTCAAGTGCCTTCGGCACTAAGCCACCAATATTTAACGTCCCAGTACATTCCCAGAAAATGTACACCATTTTTAGATATGGTAATGTTTAAGATTCCCGTACGTTAATTTTTAAATAATGAAATTTATCATGCAGATTTACTTGAGACATTGTGGAGAAGTTGGAAATTAAGGTACAGTGATTTCATGGTTTTTGCAAGTTTCACAGGATGGTAATAATTTGATGAATTTATGTATCTCCAGATTTTGATCTTCAAACTTGTTGGTCTTAAACCACAAAGTATAGAAAGGAGATAAAATTGTTGTTGTTGTTGTTAGGTGCCGTCGAGTTGTCTCTGACTCATAGCGACCCTATGTACAGCAGAATGAAGCACTGCCTGGTCCTGTGCCAGCTCCACGATCCTCACAGGATCTGAGGCCATCATTGCAGCCACTGTGCCAATCCATCTTGTTGAGGGCCTTCCCCTTTTTTATTGACCCTCCACTTTACCAAGCATGATACCCTTCTCCAGGGAATGATTCCTTCTTACAACATGACCAAAGCAGGTGAAATGAAGTCTGGCCCTTTTTGCTTTCAAGGAGCATTCCGGCTGCACTTCTTCCAGGACAGATTTGTTAGTTTTTTTAGCAGTCCATGGTACTTTCAGCATTCTTCTCCAGCACCACAACTTAAAAGCATCGACTCTTCTTCGGTCTTCCTTATTCATTGTCCAGCTCTCACATGCATATGAGGAAATTGAAAATAACATGGCTTGTGTCAGGCATACTTTAGGCTTCAAGGAGATATCTTTGCTCTTCAGCAGCTGAAAGAGGTCTTTTGCTGCAGATTTGCCCTATGCTGTACGTCCTCTGATATTTTGACTGCTGCTTCCATTGGTATTGATTGTAGAATCAAGTAATATGAAGTCTTTGACAACCTCAATCATTTCTCCAGTTACCATGATGCTGCTTATTGGTCCAATTCTGGAGATTTTTGTTTTCTTCATATTGAGGTGCAATCCATACTGCAGACTATAATCTTCAATCTTCATCAGTAAGTGCTTCAAGTCATCCTCACTTTCAGCAAGGAAATTTGTGTTGTCAGCCTATCACAGGTTGTTAATGAATCTTCCTCCTATACCACACACTCTTCTTCATAAAGTCCAGCTTCTCGGATTATTTGCTCAGCATACAGATTGAATAAGTATGGTGAAAGGATTCAACCCTAACATGCTACCTTCTTGATCTTAAAAGAAAATTGTAGAAAGGACAAAATCCTTATTATAAGTAAGATATGGAGTGCAAAAAAGCACTAGAGAACCAAGAGGGCAAGTGACCTTAAGAATTCACAGAAGAGATGGCACTTAAAAGATAATAGACTTGCAATTATGGTACATTATTAGGGAATTGGCTGAAATGTGGTTACTCACCAAAGGCTATGTCATAATACAGTTTTTCTTCCACTCCAGCAAGTGGTAGAAGTCGCAAAGGCTGCAGATAGTCCTTTCCCAGATCCTCTGGAAGAAGGAATTTCATTTGATATTTACTCAACATTCATTATGCCACCCCCAACATCAGTTACAGAACTGAAGGTATGCTTCCTTTTTTTTTTTTTTTTTTTCTTTTAGTTCACCCTGCCTCAGGTTTACATTCTCTAAAGTGTGTGTTGGGGGAGGGGCGGGGAGAAACCAAATTGCTTCCAATTTTTTTCCTTCTGATTTTTCCTAAAAAAATATAAAATATTTCTTTCAATGTTGGTTCACAGTTGAGAGTGATTTGGCAGTTTTAATCTCTTCCACTCCATCCTCCCTACGCTACATCTTTACTCTCCCAAAAGAAGGCACTGCTTTCACAGCAACATGGCGTTAACGGATAATGAAAATGCAGGGTAGTGTTAAATCAAAACACCCTCCAGATTGACAGAGTTTATGGTAGAAAAGAGCTGATAGAAGTTTGAGGTTACATGAAATTCATTGAACGTTCCAGAAATCAGTTGAATGTTGTTTACTTTCAATATTCTAGAGTCTGGATCAAGAACAAGGCCCTGAGGAGAACCAGCCGGAAACTGATGCATCAGACATGGACCCTTTAGTTGGATTCACCATTGAAGATATCAGATCAGTGCTGAGTCAAGTCACAGATGATGTTCTAATCAGCATTCAGGTATTCAATATAGACATTGTGCTCACTGATTTTACTACCAATTAGTCAAGCTCAACCTTAATGTCTATAAACACTACACACACTCTGCAACCAAGAGTGATGTTTTTGATGGAGGAGTTCAATTGAACGTCTTGACATAACTCTCAATTGAGTCATCTGAGATTTAGAAGATCACAAAATCGATACATCAACAGCATCTAGGGTGGTGTGTGTTATCAGTTTATAAAACCATTGAAACTAAAAATAATAACACAATAAAACTTCATACCTTGTCACACTATAAACATTGCTCATGCAGGGGTAATTTGAGTACATCTGCAAACGGTAAACACTGAGGACCAAATCATAATTTTGAGCTGAGTCTTCTCACCAAATTTTTAAGGACTTTCAATTTCAAGTCTTGGAACTTCCTTTCAGATAGTTTGTTCCTTTGCACATATCACTAATAGCTAAGCAATTTATACCAGTGGTTGCATGAAAATGGTGACTGCAAGTGACTTGTAAGTCAACTTAGCTTTGTGCTTAATTTTTTTTCTGTTCTATTAAAAAAAGAAAACTGTGTTTACTTCAACACAAAGGTTTGTAGGAGTTCTCATCATTTCCTGAGCAAAATGATCAAATAAGTGAGTTGCATATTTTGACTGAATTTATAATTTATTTTGGAAATTACCATGGATCAGTTGGACAACATACTGCATATTTAAAATACTAATGCACGTCAGGGTAGGATTGAATTTTTATCTGAATGTGAGACCATATATAAAAAGCACACTGTACTAACAACTAACGTAGAAAGAGCAAAAGATTAGCTGGCATAAGTATACCTTGTTACTTGTTTAATCATCTAATGTTATTGAACTATTTACATGAACATTTAATGATTTGTTGCCAACAGAATCAGCCAAAGTCCTAAGCTTAATAAGGGGTGTTTAGTGTTTACCAGAAATAGTGGAAGAACACGTTTTACACAAAGCTTTATTGTTAGCAACCCCATGAATGTAATAACTGGTTACTGTGTGGAAGGGCAGAGTGCAGTTGAATTAAGCTGAGTTCAGAACATATCTCCTTTTTAGATTTGATAACATTTCATCTAAATATAGTTTATGTATAATCATGGCCTTGGGCTCCTTGCGATCTTGCGACTCTGAAATTATTGCTGAGGAACTACTAGACAGTAATAGAATTGTTAGCAGGCCCCCAAAATTGAAAACATCTTTAACAGATCCATGTTCCATGTAGTGCACAGTATGTTTTTCAACTATGCGTTGAATTTTTTTTTGTTTTTTGGAATACTAGAGTCTGCAGCATTTATACCACACTATTCTATAACAGAAAGAATATGATTGCTGTGTGTGTGTGTGTTATCGCCCTATTGGCCTGAAGCCATCCTTCCTGGGCTTAGAAGTTCATTAGCTTGCTCATCTAAATGTAATTAGGCGTAGGAAGAATTTGGACCAGAGGTGAGGGATGGGGATCCTTTAGGTGCCATAGTCATTTCCATATTAAGTAGATTCACAGACATCAGCCTGGGCCAAATGACTGCCAAGTTTTCTATAAAATAGCATAATGATGTGGATTTATACATTGTTTCAAGATAGAAAACTGCTTTGTGTGTTTTCTATCAATAATCCTAGTAAACTCCATGCAGTTTAGGCAGGCACCACCCCTGATGAACAAATTGAAAAATGAGATGCAAAAAGACTAAGTCATTTGTCCAGAGTTTCCAGGGTCGGAAACTGATGAAAGGCTCTGAATGGGAGCTGGGAACTGGGCTCTAGTCCTAATTCCAGTGTTATCCACAAAAACCACATAACCTCTAATATCACAACCAGACTACTTTGGGTTTAAATACTCCCGTGGTGTGGCACTTTTTCAGTGTTTACCCTTGTGTCTTGGTCAAATTCCAAGTTGGTAATTACTCTCTGCTTACCTAAATTTCTCCTCCTGTTTTAGATGAGTAAGTTATTTTCCACTTCTAAAACCTGCCTTCCAGTGTTCCTGGCTTTAAAAACTGCCACATCCTTTTTCAAAGGTAGCTGCATGTCAGATGTCAGTGGTTAGTGTATATAAGCTTTTTGAATACACCAACCTGCTTTCCTTGAGTGTAGCAAAATTTAATGAATTATTATTTATTAGATGTTTTCAAATTTTTCATAGTTTTTCTTTTCCTTTTTTTTAAAAGTCATACAGTAACTAAAATTTTTAGAGGAAAGGCAGTAGAGAATCCACATTTTAAGTTTAATTTTTTCAGAGCTCTTTTTCCAGTGGTTACAGGCATATTTCATTTTCTATAATCCAGAAATTTCTGAAAATGTGGTATGAATCCTTAAGCTTTTTTAATGTACCATTAAATCAATTTAGTTTCCCATTGGCTCACTTTATAGTTCTAAAGATTTATTAAGAATGAAGTTATCTTGGCCCTGAGATGTTAATTAAAATTAAACTGAATAGAGCAAACTTTTTAAACCTATATAGTGTAGGCATTTTCATTTTAAAGATACATTCAAAATGAAGTTATTTTGGCCCTGACTTGTATAATAAAAATTATACCCAATAGAGCAAACTTTAATATAGTTAAAGAATTGCATTTCAGAGAAATATCAATGCTAACAATAAATCCTTGCATTAAATATTAGCTATTGGCTCTGTCTAAAGAATATGGTAAAATAATGTAAAAACTTTGAGGGAAGTTTGCAACTGGGGGACCCTCAGTATTTCTAGGTCAACATGAAGCATCCAAATTAGAAAAACTGAGCATGAGACCACTTCAAGGTAATGGTCAATGAGGAGTTATTGAAAACAGATAATGGGTTTTCCATTCTTTCCTAAAAGTAAACAGAACTAGCCCCAGCCCTAGTGGTTGTAGGATAGCTCTTCTATTCAGGACTATTCTTTAGGACACAAGGAAGCATGACAAACTGATGACAACCAGTTCTTGACTAACTATGGAGTCTTTTGGTCTAGAGTGTGCTGATGGTGCTTGAACTGAAGCTCTGATCATCACCATATAGAGATTCAAAAGGTTATTTTCTCTCAGCGTATCCTTCTATTAGATATACGCTTTACCTTCGTGAATCTTTTCCCAAAGGCCCACTCTTGATTAGATGAATTCTGTTTCAGTGAAATACCACAAAGATTTCCAGGTTAATCTGAAAACCCTGATTAGGTAGTAAAGCAGAAGCTGGGAATGATCTTTCTCCTTAGTTGAGAAGAAACAAGACTTTTGGTGGATATGGAAGAATATTAATTGAAAGTAGAAAGAGCCAATTGTTGAGTTAGAGCAATGGTTCCCAATCCTTTACACTTATGACAATAATAGTTTTCCAAATCACTGCAATCTCTACATGGCCCAACATATGCCATAAATTTATTTTTAATGAAACACAAATAACATACTTTTAAAAGATTTCATGATATCATATCAATGATATATGGCACTAGTGAAGAATATCACAAAATTGGAAGTTAAAATTCATGAATTTAAAAGTGAGAGGGTGTATTATATGTTACCTAGTCCAAATACTGATTTTTCAGATAAGAACTAATACCCAAGATGGTTAAATGACTTGCCCAAGCCTGCATACTGAAATTAAAGCATAAGTTTTACACTCCTAGATTTTGACTCCTTTCATTATACCAAAACCTTTGCATGAGAGGATTAGTGACTCCTCTGGTGGTGCTGAGGTAAGGCATTCAGCTGCTAACCACAAGGTCAGGAGTTTGAATACACCAGGTGCTCCACGGAAAAAAGATGAGGCAGTCTGCTTCCATAAAGAGTTGCAGCCTTGGAAACTCTATGAGGGTCGTTATGATTTGGAATCAACTCGATGACAGTGGGCTTTGGGTTTAGGGAAGAAATGATAGAACTCCTGGAGGACCATTTTTCATCCCTGCTTGCCACCTCCACCAAACTACCAAAGACATAAAAGATAAGAAGCCAGAAGCCAGAGCTTGATGCAAATACTTGATACAACTTGAACCATGTGAGAATTCAAATTTTTTTATACTAATGTAAGCTTTGGTGGTGTAGCACCTAAGGCATTGGATTGCTAACTAGAGGGTGGTGATTCAGACCTACCAGCCACCCCTCAGAAGGAAGATTGTGCAATCTGCTTCTATAGAGATACCACCTTGGATACCCAAGGAGGAGTCAGTATGAGTTGGAACTAACTTCACAACAATGATTTACTTTTTAATGTGAGCTGAAATGGATTGGTATTAGCCATTTTTAATCAGACAATCATATGGTCTACTATGCCAGGATAATGAATTGAAGAGAAATGGAGTTGCATTCATCATTAAAAAAAGAACATTTTAAGATCTATCCTGAAGTGCAATGCTGACAGTGATAGGATAATATCCACATGCCTACAAGGAAGAGCAGGTAATACAACAGTTAGACAAATTTATGCACTAAGCACTAATGCCAAAAATGAAGAAATGGAAGATTTTCACTAACTTCTGCAGTCTGAAGTTGATCAAACATGCAATCAAGATGCATTAATATTACTGGTGATTAAAATGCAAAAGTTGGAAAACAGAAAAAGGATCGGTAGTTCAAAAATATGGCCTTGGTAATAGAAACAATCCTGGAGATCACGTGGTAGAATTTTTCAAGACTCATTCATTGCAAATACCTTTTTCAACAACATAAATGGTGAATATACATGTGGCCCTTGCCAGATGGAATACATAGGAATCAAATTAACCACATCTGTGGACAGTGAGACTGGAGAAGCTCAATATCATCAATTAGAACAAAGCAGGGGCTGACTGCATTATATATCATCAATTATTCCTACGCAATTTCAAGTTAAAGCTGAAGAAAATCAAAACACGTCCATGAGAATCAAAGTATGTCCTTGATTGTATCCCACTTAATTAGGAAATCATCCCAGGGACAGATTTGATGGCTTGAACACTAATGACCAAATACCAGACAAGCCGAAGGGTAACATCAAGTACATCATACTTGAAGAAAGCAAAAGGTCATCCAACCTACTGCCATCGAGCCGGATCCGACTCATAGTGCGCAGTATCACTATGGAAGTAGAGGAGTGGCTGGTGGGTTTGAACCACCAGCCTTCTGGTTAACAGTCAAATGCCTTGGGCACTATGCCACCAGAGCTCCCAAAAGGTCATTAAAAAGGCGGAAAAGAAAGAAGAGACCAAAATGGATGTCAGAAGAGACTCTGAAATTTGCTCTTGAATGGACAGTTGCTAAATCAATGGAAGAAATGGTGAAGTAAAAGAGCTGCACAGAAGATTTCAAAGGGTGGCTCAAGATGATAAAGTAGAGCATTATTATGAAATGTACAAAGATCTGGAGTTAAAAAACCAAAAGGAAGAACATGCTCAGCATTTCTCAAGCTGAAGGAACTGAAGAAAAAACTCAAGCTTTGAGTTTCAATACCGAAGGATTCTGTGGGCAAAATATTGGATGATGCATGGAGCATCTAAAGAACATAGAAGGAATGCACAGTCTTTGTACCAAAAAGAATTAGGGAATGTTCAACTATTTCAGAAGGTGACATATTACCAAGAACCGATGGTGTTGAAGGGAGAAGAAGCTGCACTGAAGGCAATGGCTGGAAACAGGGCTCCAGGAATGGAGGGAACCACAAATTGAGATGTTTCGATAAATGGATGCAATGCTGGAAGTACTTACACCTTTATGCCAAATTTGGAAGACAGCTACCTGGCCCATTCCAAAGAAAGGTGATCTGACAGAATGTGGATATTATCAAACAATGTTATTAATATCACATGCAAGTAAAATTTTGCAGAAGATACTTTCAAAACAGTTGTACCAGTACATTGACAGGAAAATTCAAGCCAGATTCAGAAGAGGTTGTAGAATGAGGGATATCATTGCTGACGTCAGAAAAATCTTGTCTGAAAGCAGACAATACCAGAAAGAGGTTTTCCTGTATTTCATTGACTATGCAAAGGCATTTGACTGTGTGGATCATAACAAGTTATGGATAAAATTACAAAGAATGAGAATTCCAGCACACTTAATAGTGCTCATGTGGAAGCTGTACAGACCAAGAGACAGTGTTTTGTTCTCTTGTAAATAAGGTCACTAGAAGTTGGAACCAACTCAAAGGCACCTCACACCAGTAATAACAATGTAATCTTATCAGGACTATCAGCTCTTATTATAAAGATAAAGCAAAATCTCATCAGATAAGATAATCAGTGTGGAAATTTCAAAACTATCTATTATTGTTACTCTTTAAATATATATATAGGTGCTCTGGTAGCATAGTGCCTAAGGCATTTGACTGCTAACCAGAAGGATGGCAGTTCAAATCCATCAACCACTCCTTGGGAGGAAGACTGGGCAATCTTCCTCCAGAAAGATACTGCCTCAGAAACCCAAGGAGGGGTTGGGATAGACTGGATAGCAGTGAGGTTTTTTTTTTTTTTTTTTTTGGTTATATATAATCAGCATTTGATAGTATAAATTTTTATATCTAAATTAAAACAATAAAATCTCATAACAGTTACCCTGAAGACTTCAATTATGCCATAGATATTAACATTCTAAGCTTTAAATTACTTAACACTTTTATATACAGATTACTCCTCATAAACTTGTAGAAGTTTTTAAAATAATCAAATAGCCAGCTATAAGAAAACAATTTTACTATGTTCCCCACCATTAGTATCTTTGAAAAAAATTTTATTACCCACTTTGAAAAAGGGAAGACATTTCCAGGACTACTAATGTTCAAATAATCTGAAAGTATTTCCGGATTTATGCAGGTAGCAATGCTAGTCCACAGAATATCACTTCTAGAGGCTAAATGCGATCACTAAAACCTGTCAGCAGTCACTTACTTCTTTCTACCAAAAATATACTGCGAAAGGCATAATTCCAAGAGCTATAATGTATGATGAATACTGTTAATTATGAGAATTGTTCTAAGAGTATTTGTGTTATTTCACAAGAGCAGCTTTCTGAGTTCCTGTTTAGAATGGATTACCCAAGAGACAAAAACATCCACTGTAGAGGGTGGGGGACCAACAACAATGCAATAACTGAGCCCAGAGCAGTTATTCTGATTTGGTGCTTATTGGTAAAGTCTGTCTGAAAATACAGATAAATTATCCTATCTTCTAACACAAGGCTATGTGAAAAATGGCTGTCGAAATACCACTTCCTGTTCATAGCAGACATGCTATACATTGGGAATGTGCAGAGAAGTATGATAAAGTGTTATCACATCACTACAGACTGAAACACGGCTATGTCTGCAAAACAGGAAGGTGTGTGAGGGATAATGTCTGTCTTTAGGCACTATAGTATGTCAAAACCACAAAGACAATGTGCAGCAAAAGATAGCTCCATCATAACCACTTTTTTATGATTGTCTTCACAGACTGAGATAAACGAAAAGCTGCAAATACAGGAAGAGGCCTTTAATGCACGAATAGAAAAATTGAAAAAGGCCTGAGGACTCAGTGCAAGGAGAGTGACGCTAAACTTCACGGAAACAAACAAAACCAGCCAGAATAATAGACTCTCTAGAGCTGCGTATCTCCTTCATTTAGCTGTGAAAGGAAACCAAGCCCTACTTTTATTATCCTAACTAATTAGAGAAGTATGGGCCCCAATTTTGCTATCTCCCATCCCATAACAGCCTCTGAATTTATTGTACAGAGTATAATAAGAACATTTTGTATACAAGAGTGTGGAGAATTATATATAAAAATACAATTACTTTTACGATACACCTTTGACATTTTGACTAATAAACGCTATTCATCTTCAAGGAAAATGAAGCTAGCTGTTTTAAACAACCAGAAATAAAGAAAAATAATAATAATTATGTCCACATTGACCCAAATGAACTGTCACATTGCTGGAGCACTATGAAAAGCTACCAGTACCACAGAGGATAAAACTTGGCTAACCAACAGCAATTCAAATGCATATATGAGGTGGTATTTTTTTTTTTTTTTTTGCCTTCAAATCATTTGGTTTTCTTATTTATACATTTCAGTGTGAAACCAATTTTCTGAAATTATATAATGCAGTTTGAAGCACTTTAATTTATTCTGTACTGTATTTGTTATTTCTAATCTTGTTACTCTCCCAGGAGAATACATGACCTATATAAAAAGAAGCAATGTATAAATGGTTATTAAAGACCAACCTATATATAGATTGTAAAAATGTTAAATATAAATCAAACTCACAGGGCTCCTAAAATTAACCATTATATTGCAGCAGAATGATTGTAAAATGTCTCAAGCCTTTAAATACCTTTATTACAATATAATTTCAAAAGAAAAATATCCATTTACCAACTGATAGTCCCTAGTTTGACAAATTAAATCGATTACTACCTAGGTCTTTTGTCTTTCCAAATTTCTGAGACTTTAAATTATTCTACCATGGAGAGCATTACTAGGAGGGGGCCCATGCTTTCCAGTTGATTCTGACTCATAATGACCTTATAGGACAGAGTAGAATTGGAATAAGATTTCCAAGGCTGTAATCTTTACAGAAGCAGACTGCCTCATCTTTCTCCTGAAGAGCAGCTGGTGACCTTTTGGTTAGCAGTCGAGTGCTTTACTTATTGCGCCACCAGGGCTCCTTTATTAGGATTCCCACAATAACTTTCCAATTTATTCAGTCCTTGCATCCAGGTGTCCCTTGGTGGACTATGTTTCATCTGTGCTCTAAACTTGTGCTAAAATTTACATTCTTCATGAGTATCAAAAGAATTTCCCAAAAGCGTATTTAATTGATTCAAATAAATGTGAGTGTTTGATCATTTTCTAATTGCACTGGTCAACAAAGTAAAAGTAACTCTTAAGATAAAACCATGTGTGTTGCTGCTCATGTAGTTCCAAGTTTGGAAGGTCTGGAGATGTGTTGGGATATGTTTCTGCCCCGAGCTGTCCTTCCTAATTAAAAATGTTGACAGCCATAAGTAACCACTAGGAGGGCTGACATGTTTGGATTCCATGAAGCAATCCTTTCCTCAGGGAATACTAAAAGGGGAAACTGGGGAAACCACAAACAAGGAATAAAGAAGCGTCTTTTGCTGTTGTTAGGTGCTATTGAATCAGTTCCAACTCATAGCAACCCCACGTATAATAGAATGAAACGTTGCCCAGTCTTGTACCGTCCTCACAATCGTTGCCATGTTTGAGCTCATTGTTTCAGCCACTCTGTCAGTCTTATCTCCTTGAAGGTCTTCCTCTTTTTTGCTAACCCTCTGCTTTACCAAGCATGATGTCTTTCTCCAGGAATTGCCCACCTGCTAACAAAGTATGTGAGATGAAGCCTCACTGTCCTTGCTTCTAAGGAGCATTCAACAAACATCTTCAAATCCTACTGTTGGCACAGAGTAGATATGCATTTCTAATAATGAATGCTTATTGTTAGTGGGGATATTAGAAGTGTAAAATGGAATTTAGGGAAAAAAAATAAAAAGCACTAGGATCCCTACACAGTTCACAGAGACAAGATCATATAAACATGTTTAGTGACAGGACCTCTGGCATAATATTCCTAGGGTTATGACATTGGTTTCACCACTGGCTAGTCCAAACAACTGGGTCTTGGGTGTTAGGGATAGGCAGTGGCTTTTGAGTATCTGAAGAGGTAAACAGAAACCAAACCTTACAACAAAAGTGTGGCTTTGGACAAGCTACTCAACTTCTGTTTGCTTATCTATAAAGTGGGGATTATAACCTATTTCAGAGGTTGAGAATTCAGTGAATTCATATTAAAGGGCATTTAGTGTAGGGTTTGGTTGCTCTTCACCTCTTTCAAACCAAATGGAAAAGTAGAAAAAAAAAAAAAAACCAGTTGCTGTTGAGTTCATTCTGATTCACGGCGACCCCGTGCGTGCAGAGTAGAGCTGTACCACAGGGTTGTCACGGCTGTACCCTTCCAGCAGATCACCAGGCCTGTCTGCTGAGGCGCCTCTGGCTGGGCTTCAACTACCAGCCTTTTGGTCTATAGTCAAGCACTTAACCAGTTGTACCACTCAGGGACTTCTAACCCATTCCTATGCCCATTGCCCAGTTGTTTGGTCAGCCTCTTTCACAGAATTCCCAGCCTTCTATGTCTCCACTACCACTGTGTAGAAGTCATCTCACAATAACCACTTTGCATTCTGCTGTCCTACATCTTTCATGTTGGGGCAACCCAGAAATCTCTGTGGCAGCCCAACTTTAAGAATTAATAATAATAGGAGGAAGAGCTATCATAGCAATAGCAGCTACAATATTTAATGCATTGTCCCTGCTTTTTTAAAATTAATTTTGAATTGGTAAAGGAATATAAGCACTTTGTGTGAAAAAAAAAAGTCCAAAGTGTATACGTTGAAAAATAAATTTCACTCTAGATACCCAAATTCCTTTCTCCAAAACAAACTCACCTTCCAGTAAATCCTTAGAAGAATATTTTTTGCCTGGTCAAATAATTGAATGTGTGTAGAGTGACCTTTTTAAAAAAAAAAAAAAAAAAATTTGAATTTTTCTTTATGTTACTTTTTTTTTTTAACCAAATAGTATATCTTGAAGGTAATTCCCTGTCAGTACATTTTAACTGGCTGCATAGTATTACAGCTTATCCACTTCATACTTTTTAAATTATTCTTATTGATGAATTTTTTTTAATTGTTTCTAATACTTTGTTATCACAAACAAGGCTTCATTGGCCATCCTTATGGATACATCTGTGTGAACATGTATGATTACACTCATAGAATAAATTTCAAAAAGGAAAATTTTGGGGCCACTGGTATGTGCATCTTTTTTTTTATAGATATTCTCAAATTGTTTTCCAAGGATATTTCACCAATTTTTACCCCCAACCAACAATGTATGAGAGTGCTTCTTTCTGCACAGTTATCAACAGCATGCACCAGGCAATTTTTTACATTTGGTGTTTTAATTGATAGAAAATAATCCCACTGCCGTGGAGTTGGATCCAACTCATAGCGACTCCTCCTTGGATTTCCAAGGTAGTATCACTATGGAAGTTACATTATTTTTTTAATTTTAACTTTTGTTTTCACTTCTCATGGTTTGAATACTTTTCATGTTTATAAGCTAATTTTTACATGTATGTATCTCAAATACATATATGTTTATCATATATATTATATAATTGCAATATATCTATATACATGTCAGATATAGATATAGATATCAAAAATATTGATTTAATCCTCCTAAAACTACTAAGAGATAGGTATTATTATTCTCATCTTATAGCTATAAAATTTAGCTTTAGAGAGATTATTAACTTCAACAGAGTTGCATAACTATTAATTGGCAGATAAAACCTTGAAAGCCAGGTTTGACTTGTTATACAAGTGAGTAAATTGAAGCAAACAGAAATTTTAAATAACTTTCCCACGAACACACAGCCAGTGTGTGGAAAAACTAGGTTTTGAACTTAAGTCTGTCTGATTAAAAAAATACATATACTGTGGTAGTTAAGATTATCTGTCAACGTGGCTAGGCCTCGTTTTGAATGGCTGAGTAATCAACTCCCTGGTAGAATCTACTATGAGCAGCTGAGTGGCTGCCTTAGGGATATGGCCTGCTTCTATATATGAGAGGACACTTTGAGAAAGACCTCTAGCTTCTTGGCACATTTGAGTCCTACATTTGGCCAAGTTATCAGTGAGTGGCTGCCATCTTTTCTGCCAATCTTGGAACTATTTCTGGACTTGAACTAGTAGCCTGCCATGCTGCTTGATAATCGTGGGATTGTGCATTTTATTTGTCAACATTGAGTTTGTCAGCCTTAGCAGTCAGCACCTGCTTGAGTTAAGAGATGCCTTCAGCTCCAGTAGGCTGAGAGCAAGAGGCAGAGCTGAAGCCCAAAGTCGAGGGACCTTCACTCAGCCTGTAGAGCTGGCACTTTGAACTCAGACTTCTATCCTCCTAAACTGTAAGAAAACAAATCTCTGTTTGTCAAAGCCATCCTTTTGTGGTATGTCTGTTATCGCAGCACTAACAAACCAAAACATGTACTTCACCTCTATCCTCATTAGCCATCTTATAATTAACATAAAAAAATGAGACTTGACCTTTCTTTTTCATTATTAGTTATTTCTATAGATTAAATTACATAGCTAAAAAAGATGTGTTGAAGTCCTTAACCCCTATCTCTGTGAATGTAACCTTGTTTGGCAATAGGGTTTCCTTTCACTATCAGTTAAATCAAATGAGGTTATACAAGAGCAGGGTGGGTCCTAATCCTAATCCTATATGGCTTGTTGTTTTTAGGTGCCATCAAGTGGTTCTGACTCATGGTGATCTTGTGTATAACAAAACAAAACACTGTCCAGACCTGTGCAATCCTCATAGTCATTGCTATGTTTGAGATCATTGTTGCAGCCACTGTGTCTATCCATCTTGTTCAGAACCTTCCCCTTTTTTGCTGACTCTCTACTTTATGAAGCATGATGTCCTTCTCTAGGGGCTGGGCCCTCCTGATAACATGCCCAAAGTACCTAAGATTAAGTCTCACCATCCTTGCTTCTAAGGAGTATTCATTCCGCTGCATTCTTTCCATTTAGTTTTCTAACTCCAGGTCTTTGCACAGTTCATTATAATACTCCACTTTGTCTTCTCAAGCTGCCCTTGGAAATCTTCCACTCAGCTCTATTACATCGACATTTCTTCCATTAGCTTTAGCTAGAGCAAGTTTTGGAGTCTCTTCTGACATCCATTTTGATCTTTTCTTTCTTTCCTGTTTTTTTAATGACTATTTGTTTTCTTGATGTCATCCCACAAC